TTACCTTCAAGCCTTTAAGACCCCAGACGCTATACTTTTTGATAGCCGGGCACCATCAGCTTTCTTCACCACATTTGCTTATGCACCCATTTGTCTTCGGGTCACCTTTCTTTTAAATGGGTATAAATATGAATCTCTCCCCGTCAGCTGGCCAGGGAGCTGGCATAGACAGCTGAGTGCTTTTAGTGCTTCTTCAGCTTGTTGAACCTTTTCCATGGGTATCCCATTAATTCCTGGAGCCTTGTTTTCCGCTAATGCTTTCAGTGCAGCTTGAACTTCTTCCTTCAGTACCATTGGTTCTTCCTCATGTGCAACCTTTTGAAATGACTGCATGTTGCCTAGTTCTTTTTGGCATAGTGACTGTGTGTTCTTTCCATCTCCTTCGGAGCTCTCGGCAACACATCACACTGGACAAGTCTATCACATAAGGCTTCAAAAGCAAAGATGTCATTGAGAGCTAAACTTTGTCTTCCTTAAACCAGGAATCTGCATGTGAAAGTTGGCTAATGAACAAGGAAGACCAAAGAATAATGAATGCTGATACCAAGGGCTTAAGTGGAGAGCAAATATTTTGAGAATGATAAGGGCAATGAATGGACAAATGTGCTTGACACAATGGATGGATGGATGGATTGTGATCAGAGTTGTATGAGCCCCCAATAAAATGATTTTTTTTAAAGAGAGAATAATGAATGCATTTGAACTAAGATGTTGGTGAAGAACATTGACTATACCACGGACTGTCACAAAAACAACCACAACAACAAATAAATACATCTATCTTAGAAGAAGTACAGCCAGATTGTCCTTTAGAAATAAAGATGGCCAGACTTTGTCTTACACACTTTGGACACGCTGTCAGGAGGGACCAGGCCCTGAAGAAGCACACATGCTTGGTAACGTAGAGGTCAGTGAAACAGAAGACACTCGGGGAGATGGCCTGACACAGCGGTTGTGGCAATGAGCTCACGTATGGCAGTGATTGCGGAGATGACAAAGGACTGGGTAGTTTTCCATGAGTTAGCACCGAACAACCTAAGTGTTTACACTGTACATTTTATTATAAATTTGTATCTGTGTACACTAAGCACTACCAGCTAATGTTTCCTTTTCAGACACCCTTACATTATCCTCTCTCCTTCATAGCACCTACCTGAAATGATCTAGTTTATTTACCTGTGTCCTTGATTATTGACTGCCTCCCCTAGAAGGTCAGTGCTATGAAGACAGAAAGTTTTCCTTGTTTAGCTCATCGTCCACCATGTCTGCCTCAAGCCATGTACAGCTCCAGAAGGACCTGCAGAATGCAAGAAGACTGAATGACTCTGTGTTTGGGCCGGGTCCTGACCACGCAGCCCCTTCCCCCAGCCCCTCAGAAAGATGGGCGATCTGCTGGATTCCAAGGAACTTATCTCTCAGGGCAGGGTCCACATAGCCCCCTCCCCCCCACCTCCCCCACCTCTCAAGGCCAGAGCTGGACTGCAGCCTCTTCCCTCACATTCCAAGAAGCTGGTCTGAGAAGGACTTGGACTGCAGCTCACACCAGGAAGCCTCCCTTCTCCTTATGGGCACAAGCACCAGCAGCTCTCTTCACCTCATTTGCATATTTCCCTGACCCACATCCTACAAATATCCCGCTGCCCCACAGTCTGGTGCGATTTCCCTAACCTAACTCGTTGTGTCTCGGAACCTGCCCTGGAGCTCGAAATGCTCCCGTCCCTCTCTCTGCTCTCCCTTCCCTCCCGGGAGCTCTTTCCCTGCCCGAATAAAGCCGCTCTTCACCTCCCGTTCTTTGTCTCAATCCTGTCTCCGTTCGGTGACCTCTCGCCGCACATATGTCTTCTAGAGCAGAAGGCAGATGGGGGTGGTGGGGCTCCAGGGTGAAAGGGACCTGCTCAGACCTCCACTTTGATCTGCCCTGTCCTTGCTTTCTCCGTATATACATATATTTTTTTCTTTTGATACTTTTCTTCATGGTATTAATTACAAAAACAGTCAATGCTTACTTAAAATAAAATACTGGTGTACACCAAGGAAACAAATGGGAAATCACCCTGTTCCTCCTATTACCTCTTTCCCAAGAAAATTATGATTAGCCTTTGGATGGATATCTTTCCAGCCTTTTCTTCTAAAGCATACCTGGCCTCCTCCCCCTTGGGACCGCACTGCTCAGTGCAGGAGACATCTGTTTCTTCACTCCCCTCTCTATTCCAAAAGACCGTTTCTCTGTCCTCAGCCACCCAGCGAGCTGGATGCCATGGCCATTCACCTTCTGCCGCCCAGCCCCCACCTCCAACCAAACAGTGAAACAAAACACAAGACCAGCAGGGAGTAGTTGCCAAACGGAGCTCTGGACTCCGAGTGAGTTGGGGGTGGGGATGGGGCCTAGGGTGGGAACACTGCTCTGCCAACCACCAGTGGTCTGGGCCCTCGCTGAGCCTCGGTTTCTCTACCAGTGAAAGGGGGATGGCATTCCCTACACCGCTGTGTTGGGATGATGCAAGTAGGGGCAGGAGCATCCCCGGCAGGAGTAACCTACCTGCTGCTTCTCCTTGCTCTCTGCTCTCACTCCCTCTTGCTGGGCTGTTCTCGCTTCTCCTTGAGATACTAAGTCCCCCCTTTTCCCCCCCATCAAATTATTCTTAGAGATCCCAGCATCAATAAGCCCCCTCCCTCCTTTTCACCAGGGTTAATTCTGCTTTCCCTTCTCCCCCCTCTTATCCATTAATGTTTTTAGGACCTTTTTAAAGGGGCTAGTGAAGTCGAAGGGGGGGGGGGTGTCCGCTTTTGCCCATAAACTCCATTGGCCACCACACCTTAACCCCAAAGATGCTTCCTGTTTACTTTCAGGCCCATAAAATAGGCGCTCAGAGCCAAGGTTCTGGAACAGCTGTTACATAATCGCCTAACTATCCAATTGGCAGCTCCTTAGCTGACCTCCCTTAACACTCCTTTGCTGGGACTTGAAACAACAGAAACAAAGGTCGGTCCCTCCCCAGCTTTCCCAGGCACCCATCATTCTCGCTTTTCACAAAAAACCCACCAGCCGAGTCCGAGGGACGCAATAGGTGCCAGCATCATGGTACACACTGCCTCCCAAGTAGCAGACCCGGGCCCAAATTCCCACTTCTTCCTAGCGATCTGCCTAGAACTCAGACTGAAAGCAGCTTCCTGGGGCTGAGCTGAGCAGCAGGGAGGGTGTTGCTTATCCTGCTGTGTGAATCTGGGAGTCAGCCAGCGCTGGTTGTGCCTGGGCTAAGGTCTGACCGGAATGGAAGGTGAGAAGGTGAGAAGTTCTTAAACTCCTGAGAAGCAAAATGAGAGTTGCTTAAGAGACAATTATGCTGATTTGGGTACAGTTCTTCAAGATCAAGCTCTGTCCCTACCCAAAAAAAGTAAAGATGCCATGGGTGTGTCTCCGTGACCCACCTGATCCCCTCCCTGGACTGCTTCCATGGCAGGGTCGTCCAAGTTAGGACACAACTTTCCCCAACTACCTTGGCAGCCCTGGAGGAAGCAGCAGGCAGATGATGGGGGTGGCCAAGGAGGAGCCACCGAATCCCCAGCCAGAGCCTAGGGGCCTGAAAGAACTTGTAGCCAATGACAGGCTGAAAACCCAGCAAGATAACAGCTCTCAGATAACAGCTTTCATCCCCTTAACTAAGAACCCTAGTTAAGGGGATGAGAGTGGGTTTTTTCTCTTTCGGATCTTTGATGGCTGGTTACCCCAAGTCAACCCTTGCTTTGTGATTTCAGAAAGAAGACATAAATTAAAGAGCAGGGGAGTACAAAGGAGAGTGGAGGCCCCGGGGCACACAATCAATTAAGGTTGGAGGTTTGCGACCACCCAAAGGTGCCTTGAAAGAAAAAGCTGGTAACTATGGTGGCAAAAATCGTCCCTTGAAAACCCTACAGAGCAGAATTTGACTCAGAATTGATTCAATGGCAATTGGTTTAGAGAGGAAGTTAGAGATGGAGTCCTCGGGGGCATGGAGATAGGATGACCACAGGGGCATCAAGGGGCCACCAAGGAGATGAAGAAGCAGGCTTACTTGGTGTCTGCCTGGCCTGGGATACGAGGATGAGGATGGAGACAGTGAAGAGCCAAAAGGAATTGAATAAAAGACCACTGCCCTGAAGGACATTGGGCCTCCACTCAAGTACTCCCTCAA